GGGGGGGGGGGGGCCGGGGGGGGGCCCGGGGACGAGCGCGGGGACACGAAACAGCGGCGGAGGGAGAAACCGAGCCCGGGGGGGGCGCGGGACAGCGACACCTGCGGGGACACGGACAGGGACAAGGGGGGGTCACAGGGACAGCGACACCGGGACACGGACAGGGACAAGGGGGGGTCACAGGGACAGCGACACCGGGACACGGACAGGGACAAGGGGGGGTCACAGGGACAGCGACACCGGGACACGGACAGGGACAAGGGGGGGTCACAGGGACAGCGACACCGGGACACGGACAGGGACAAGGGGGGGTCACAGGGACAGCGACACCGGGACAGGGACACCTGGACAGGGGTGCCACGGGGGGGGTCACGGGGACAGCGACACCTGGACAGGGACGGGGACACCTGCGGGCACACGGGACAGGGGGTGACAGGGGAACACACGGGGATCGGGACCCCCCCGTTCCCCCCTCACCTGCAGGAACACGCGCCCCCCGTGTCCCCGTCCCTCCCGTGTCCCCTCACTTGTCTCCTCTGTCCCCTCCCCTGTCCCTGTCCCTGTCCCTGTCCCTGTCCCCGTGTCCCCTCACCTGCAGGAACACTCGTCCCCCCGCGGGCACCGCTCTCGGTCCCGGTGCCGGTCCGAACTCGGGGGAGGGGGCGACGTCCAGGCGGTGCCACCAGTGACCCCCAGTGGCCTTCCAGTAACTCCCCAGTGCCCTCCCAGTGTCACCAGTGACCTCCAGGGACCCCCCAGTGCCACCAGTGACCCCCAGTGGCCTTCCAGTAACATCCCAGTGACCTCCCAGTGTCAGCAGTGACCTCCAGTGCCACCAGTAACATCCCAGTGACCTCCCAGTGCCCTCCCAGTGCCACCAGTAACGTTCCAATGACCTCCCAGTGGCACCAGTAACATCCCAGTAACATCCCAGTAACATCCCAGTGACATCCCAGTGACCTCCCAGAGACTTCCCGGTGTCCCCAGTGTCCCCTCCCAGTTCCCCAGTGCTCCCAGTGCTCCTCAACCCCTCCCGGCGCTCCCAGTTCCCCCCAGTGCTCCCAGTTCCGCACTCACCCCGGGCTGGTCCCCGCTGCAGCGCGGCCTCGGGGCTCCCGGGGGGGACACTGGGGGTCCCGGGGTCCCCGCTGTCCCCAAGGTGTCCCCGCGGCTCCCGCCCACGCTGGGGGGATGTCCCCGTGTCCCCTCCCCCCCGTCGCCCCGGTGACACCCTTGGGCTGCGGGGACGTCACGGGGGCGGCACCCGAGTGCCCCCGCGTGTCCCTGATGTGCCACCAGTGTCCCTGCCCCGATGTCCCCAGTGCCCTGCCCAACCCCCTCCTCGGTGTCACCTGGATCCTCCAGCTGTCCCTGCTGTTCCCCCGTGTCCCCCACGGGGGCGGCACCCGAGTGCCCCCGCGTGTCCCTGATGTGCCACCAGTGTCCCTGCCCCGATGTCCCCAGTGCCCTGCCCAACCCCCTCCTCGGTGTCACCTGGATCCTCCAGCTGTCCCCAACCCCCTCCACCCCGGGGCCTCTGCCCCCCTCCTGTGCCCGTGTCCCCCCCGTGTCACTGGTGTCCCCTGTGCCATCCCTTCCTGTGTCCCCAGTGTCATTCGTGTCCCTCTGCTGTCCCCAGTACCGAAGTCCCCACCCTGATGTCCCCACCCTCCACCTTCCTGTCCCTGTCCCCATCCCGATGTCCCCAAGGTCCACCTGTGCCATCCCCCATCCGTGTCCCCATGCCCCCGTCCCCATCCCAATGTCACCCTGTCCCCAAAGTCCCATCTCTCATGTCCCCAGTGTCCCCACCCTCCACTTTCCCGTCCCTGTCCTCACTGTCCCCATCCCCTCCTTCCCAATGTCCCCAATGTCCCCCTGTGCTTCCCATGTCCCCATCCCCATGTCCCCATTTCCTAATGTCCCCCAGTGTCCCCCCTCCCTGTCCCAATGTCCCCAATTCCCACAGTCCCAGTGTCCCCATGTCCCCAGTCCCAGTGTCCCCATGTCCCCAATGTCCCCATTTCCCACAGTCCCAGTGTCCCCATCCCAGTGCCCCCAATGTCCCCAATTCCCACAGTCCCAGTGTCCCCCATATTTTCCCATGTCCCCACTCTCCCATGTCCATCCCAATGTCCCCAGTGTCCCCCAGTGTCCCCAGAGCCTGACGCCGACGCAGCCCCTCAGGTTCCACATGCGCATTTATAATAATAATAATTAATAATAATAATTAATGAGGGTGACGGGGGGCGGCGCCGCCCGCGCCCCCAATGCACTAAAACTGCACCTGCTGGCCTGGGGGACAGCGGGGACACGGCGGGGACACGGCCCGGCCCTGATTGTCACCGTGCCACCGCGGCCCTGGCAGCCGGGGCCACCCCGGGCCGTGTCCCCAGTGTCACATCGCGGTGTCACATCCCCGGGCCGCGTCCCCGGTGTCACAGACAAGTGTCACATCCTTGGTGTCACATCCCTGGGCCGTGTCCCCGGTGTCACATCCCAGTGTCACAGACAAGTGTCACATCCCGGTGTCACATCCTTGGTGTCACATGCTTGGTGTCACATCCTTGGTGCCACTTCCCTGGTGCCACATTCCTGGGCCGTGTCCCCAGTGCCATATCCTTGGTGTCACATCCTTGGTGTCACATCCCCGGGACTGGGCCCTGCGATGTCACATCCCCATGACGTGCCCGTGTCCCCGGGCCACCACTCCGTGTCCTTCAGCGCCATGTCCTCATTGTCACAGCCTTGGGACATCTCTGTCCTGTGCCATTCCCATGTCACAGTCTTGGGACATCTCTGCTCTGTGTCACTTCCCGGCGCCACCTCTGTCCCTGTGTCACTTTCTGATGCCATCCCTGGGCCACATTCTGGAGCCATCTCTGCCCTGTGTCACATCCCAGTGTCCCCGTGTCACTTCCTGGTGTCACCTCCGTCCTGTGCCATCCCGGTGCCATCTCTGTTCTGTGTCACATCCCTGTGCCATCCTGTGTCACTTCCTGGTGCCACCTCCGTCCTGTGCCATGCCGGTGCCATCTCCATTCTGTGTCCCCATGTCACATCCTGGTGCAATCCCCGTGTCACATCCTGGTGCAATCCTCGTGTCACGTTCCAGTGCCATCCCTGTGTCACATCCCGGTGCCATCCCCGTGTCACATCCTGGTGCAATCCTCGTGTCACATTCCGGTGCCATCCCCGTGTCACATCCTGGTGCCATCCTCGTGTCACATTCCGGTGCCATCCCTGTGTCACATCCTGGTGCAATCCCCATGTCACGTTCTGGTGCCATCCCTGTGTCACATCCTGGTGCCATCCGCATGTCACGTTCCGGTGCCATTTCTGTGCCATCCTTCCGTGTCCCCTGGCTGTCACATCCCCGTGCTGGCTCTCCACGTTGTCCCCTGTCCCCCGTGCCACGTTCCTGTACCATCTCCATGTCCCCGAGTGCCATCTCCGTGTCATGTCCACACGTCCTGGTGCCACCTCCGTGCCCCCTCAATGTCCCCTCGGGGCCGAGTGTCACATCCCCAGGCCCCAGTGTCACCCCTGTGTCACATCCCCCAGCCATGCCCGTGTCCCTGGGCCACCTCCCAGCGTGTCACCTCTGAGTGTCACATCCCGGAGTGTCACACCCTCGGTGCCACCTCCCTGTCCTGTCCCCAGCCCTGTCCCCACACGGGACCCTGTGGGAAACTGAGGCATGGCCAGGGGGACACAGAGGGGACAGGAGTGTCTCCTGGCCTTGGCAAGATGGAGACAGTGGGAGGGGACAGCTGGGATGGCAGGGACACGCTGGGACACGCTGGGGACACTCCAGGCCAGGCGGGGGCTGTGGTGGCCGTGGCAGTGCCACAGGGGGGTGGCACAGCGGGTGTCACAGGGAGGAGTTGTGGGGAGGTGGCACAGGTGTCACCGCCCCCAGTGGGTGTCACAGGCGTCCCTGTCACAGGGGGTGTCCCAGCTGTCCCTGTGCTGGGCGGTGCCCCAGGGCTGTCCTGGTTGCCCCGAGGTGTCCCCGGTGTCACAGGGGATGTCCCGGCTGTCCCCGGTGTCCCCTGCCGGGCGCGGTGGCACCAGGCAGCGTCCCAGGGCTGTCCCCGCTGTCCCTGTCCCGGAGGTGGCCCGGCTGTCCCCGGGGTGTCCCGGCTGTCCCCGGTGTCCCCTGCCGGGCGTGGCGGCGCCGGGCGGGCGCTACCTGGTGAAGAAGGGCAGGTGGTGGCCCAGGCCACCCCCCGGGCGCGGGGACTCTGTGCGGGCCATCACGTCCTTGAACCAGGTGGCCACGTCCACCTCGAGCGTCTCGTAGCGCTTGATGAAGGTGTGCTCCTGTGGGGACAGGGGACATGGGGACATCGGGGACAGCAGGGACAGCAGGGACATTGAGGACAGCAGGGACATTGGGGACAGCAGGGACATTGGGGATATTGAGGACAGCAGGGACATTGAGGACAGCAGGGACATTGGGGACAGCAGGGACATTGGGACATCGGGGACAGCAGGGACATGGGGGACATTAGAGGCAGTGGGGACAGGGGACATTGGGGACATCGGGGACAGCAGGGACGTGGGGACATTAGGGGCAATGGGACAGCAGGGACATGGGGACATTGAGGACAGCAGGGACATGGGGGACAGCAGGGACAGCAGGGACATTGGGACATCGGGGACAGCAGGGACATCGGGGACATTGAGGACAGAAGGGACATTGGGGACAGCAGGGACATTGGGGATATTGAGGACAGCAGGGACATTGGGACATCGGGGACAGCAGGGACATAGGGGACATTAGAGGCAGTGGGGACGGGGACATTGGGGACATCGAGGACAGCAGGGACACTGGGGAATACGAGGACAAGGGGACTGCAGTGGACATGGAGGACAAAGCTCGGGGACATGGGGATGGAGCACCGAGGGTAAGGGTTTGGGGACAAGGTGGGGACAGGGACACAGGACACAGATGTGGCCTGGGGGACACAGACACAGGGACACGGGGACACAGCTGCAGACACGTAGGGGAGGTGACAGGGACTTGGGGACCCCCAGGGATGGTGGCACGGTGCGCGTGCCCCCAGAGGTGACACCCACAGCCCTTGGGGACACAGGGGACAGGGAAGGGGTGGCCGTGGCTGTGGTGACAGCTGTGACAGGGAGGTGTCCCCAGGGACATGAGTGACAGGGGACAGGTGTGACAGGGGACAGGGGAAGAGACAGACGTGATGGGACAGGTGGCAGGTGTGACACTGACAGGTGTGACAATGACAATGACAGCTGACAGTGACAGGTGACATGTGTGACAATGCCAGGTGTGACAGTGCCAGGTGTGACAGTGACAATGCCAGGTGTGACAGTGCCAGGTGTGACAGTGACACGTGCCACTCACCAGTAACTTGTTGTACTTTGGTCTCTTCCTGTGGTCCTTGGTGAGGCTGGGGGAGGGGATGGGGGGGGGTGAGCATCTTTGGGACCCTCGGGCCACATCCCCATGTCCCCCCCTGTCCCGTGTCCCCACCATGTCTCCCCTGTCCCTCTCCTGTCCCCCCCATGTCTCCCCCTGTGTCCCCTGTGTCCCCCCCTGTCCCCTGTGTCCCCCCCAGTCCCAGACAAAGGCCTGGAGCTCCCCAGAGAAGGGGAGGTGGCACCTTGGGGACCCCTGGGGCTGTGTTCCCCCCATGTCCCCTGTGTGTCCCCACGTGTCCCCATGGCATACCCCATGTTCCCATGTCCCCTGTGTCCCCCCATGTCCCCAGTGTGTCCCCATGTCCCCTGTATGTCCCCACGTGTCGTGTCTCCCATGTGGCCTGTGTCCCCATGGTATCCCCCGTGTCCCCAATGTCCCCATGTCCCTTTGTATCCCCCTGTCCCCTGTGTCCCCCCGCATCCCCCATGTCCCTACGTCTCCCCATGTCCCCCAGTGTCCCCCATGTCCCCATGTTTCCCCATGTCCTCCATGTCCCTGTACGTCCCCATGTCCCTGTGTGTCCCCATGTCACCCCGTGTCCCCATGTCCCTGTGTCTCCCCATGTCCCTGTGTCCCCCATGTGACCCCGTGTCCCCCCATATCCCCACTGTGTCCCCCATGTCCCCATGTTTCCCCATGTCCCTCCCATGTCCCCATGTCCCTGCGTCCCCCATGTTCCCATGTCCCTGTGTCCCCATGGTATCCCCCATGTCCCCATGTGCCCTGTATGTCCCCACGTGTCGTGTCTCCCATGTGCCCTGTGTCCCCATGGTATCCCCCGTGTCCCCAATGTCCCCATGTCCCTTTGTGTCCCCATGTCCCCTGCGTCCCCCCGCGTCCCCCATGTCCCTACATCTCCCCATGTCCCCCAGTGTCCCCCATGTCCCCATGTTTCCCCATGTCCTCCATGTCCCTGTACGTCCCCATGTCCCTGTGTGTCCCCATGTCAGCCCGTGTCCCCATGTCCCTGTGTCTCCCCATGTCCCTGTGTCCCCCATGTTTCCCCGTGTCCCCCCATATCCCCACTGTGTCCCCCATGTCCCCATGTTTCCCCATGTCCCTCCCATGTCCCCATGTCCCTGCGTCCCCCATGTTCCCATGTCCCTGTGTCCCCATGGTATCCCCCATGTCCCCGTGTCCCTCCCATGTCCCCGGTGTCCCCACCAGTCTCGGACGAAGGCCTGGAAGTCCCCGGAGAAGCCCATGGCGGGGGGCAGCAGGGGCGGGTCCTCCTGCAGCACCTTGGTCAGCACCTCGAAATCCGTCTTGCAGTTCTGGTACGGGAACTGCCCCGTGGCCAGCTCCACCTGGGGACACACGTGTGACATGGGTGACACAGGTGTGACACACAGGGACAGCAGTTCTGGTACGGGAACTGCCCCGGGGCCAGCTCCATCTGGGGACACATGTGTGACACAGGTGTGACACAGGGACAGGTGTGACAGGGACAGGTGAAACAGGTGTGACAGGTATGACACAGGTGGGACAGGAACAGGTGTGACACAGGTGTGACAGGGACAAGTGACAGGGACAGGTGTGACAGCTGTGACACACACAGGTGACAGGTGTCGGAAAGGGATGTGGCACTACAGGGCTGAGGTGGCACTGTGGGGACACGCTGGGGACCTGGAGGCGGTCGGGGCCAGCCTGGGGACACCGTGGGGGGTCGGGGACACTTTGGGGACAGCTGGGTAGGTTGGGGATGCTCTGGGGACAGCTGGGTGACATTTGGGGACCCTGGGGTGACATTCAGGGATGCTGGGGACCCTGGGTGACATTCGGAGACACTTTGGGCACCCTGGGGTGACATTCAGGGATGCTGGGGACCCTCGTGTGATATTTGGGGACCCTGGGTGACATTCAGGGACGCTGGGGACCCTGGGTGACATTTGGGGACACTTTGGGAACCCTGGGTGACATTGGGGGATGCTGGGGTCCCTGGGGACACTGTGGGGACCCCGGGTGACATTCAGGGACCCTGGGGACACTGTGGGGACTCTGGGTGACGCTGGGGACGCTGGGTAACTTTTGGGGACCCTGGGTGACATTCAGGGACCCCAGGTGACGCTGGGGACGCTGTGGGGACCCCGGGGACGCTGTGGGGACCCCGGGTGACGCTGGGGACACTGTGGGGACCCCGGGTGACGCTGGGGACGCTGTGGGGACCTCGGGGATGCTGTGGGGACCCCGGGTGACGCTGGGGACACTGTGGGGACCCTGGGTGACGCTGGGGACGCCGCGGGTGGCGCTGGGCTCACCAGGGAGATGCCGAGGCTCCAGACGTCGGCGCGGATGTCGTAGTCGGGCTTGGTGGGGTCGGGGGGGTCGATGCGCTCGGGCTGGGGGAGGGGCAGCGTTGGGGGCACGGTGGGGGCAGGGCCCCGGAGCCCCAAACCCCAAAGCTGGGAACGCCTGAAACCCCAAACCTGGGAACCCCCAAACCCCAAACCCCAAACCTGGGAACCCCCAAACCCCAAACCCCAAACCTGGGAACCCCCAAGCCCCAAACCTGGGAACCCCAAACACCCAGAACCCCAGACCTGGGAACCCCAAAACCCCAAACGTGGGAACTCCCAAACACCCAAAACCCTAAATATGGAAATACCAAACCCCAAACCTGGGAACCCCTGAAACCTCAAACCTGGGAACCCCAAAACCCCAAACCTGGGAACCCCCAAACACCCAAAACCCCAAACCTGGGAACTCCCAAAGACCCAGAACTGGGAACCCCAAAACACCCAAACCTGGGAATCCCCAATGACCCAGATCCCCAAACCCCCAGAACCCCAAAACAACCCCCAAACCTGAGTACCCCAAACACCTAGAACCCCAAATCTTGGAACCCCCAAACCCCCAAATCTTGGAACCCCCAAACCCCAAAGCTGGGAATGCCTGAAACCCCAAACCTGGGAACCCCAAACACCCAGAACCCCAAACCTGGGAACCCCAAAACCCCAAAGCTGGGAACCCCCAAACACCCAAAAACCCCAACCTGGGAACCCCAAAACCCCAAACCTGGGAACCCCCAAACCCCAAACCTGGGAACCCCAAACACCCAGAACCCCAGACCTGGGAACCCCAAAACCTCAAACGTGGGAACTCCCAAACACCCAAAACCCTAAATATGGAAATACCAAACCCCAAACCTGGGAACCCCTGAAACCTCAAACCTGGGAACCCCAAAACCCCAAACCTGGGGGGGGACACCAAACCCCCAAAGCTGGGCTCCCCCAAACACCCAGAACCCCAAACCTGGGAACTCCCAAAGACCCAGAACTGGGAACCCCAAAACACCCAAACCTGGGAATCCCCAATGACCCAGAACCCCAAACACCCAGAACCCCAAACCTGGGAACTCCCAAAGACCCAGAACTGGGAACCCCAAAACACCCAAACCTGGGAATCCCCAATGACCCAGAACCCCAAACACCCAGAACCCCAAAACAAACCCCAAACCTGAGTACCCCAAACACCTAGAACCCCAAACCTGGGAACCCCCAAAACCCCAAATCTTGGAACCCCCAAAACCCCAAACCTGGGGGGGGACACCAAACCCCCAAATCTGGGCACCCCCAAACACCCAGAACCCCAGACCTGGGGGGATCCCCCAAACCCGAGGGGATCCCCAACACCCCCAAACCTGCGGGACCCCCCAACAGCCCCATCCCAGACCTGGGTGCAGCCCCCTCCCCACAGTCCTGGGGACCCAACACCCCCTGATCCCCCCCAAAGGCTCACTGTGGGGCTGGGGCATGTCCCCAGTGTCCCCCCGGAGTCCCCATGTCCCAATGTTGCTAATGTCCCCAGTGTCCCCACAATGTCCCAAGTGTCCCCATGTCCCAATACACCCAATGTCCCCAATGTCCCTCCAGTGTCCCTCCAGTGTCCCCAATGTCCCTGATGCTCCCAAAGTCCCTCACCACCACAGAGGCCACACACCTCGCTCTCTGGAGGATGTCCCCAATGTCCCCAGTGTCCCAATGTCCCCTCACCGCCATGCAGGCCGCACACCCCGCGCTCTGGGGATGTCCCCAGTGTCCCCAGTGTCCCCATGTCCCCTCACTGCCATGCAGGCCGCACACCCTCTGCTCTGGGGATGTCCCCAGTGTCCCCTCACCGCCATGTAGGCTGCACACCCCGTGCTCTGGGGGCTGTCCTCAATGTCCCCAGTGTCCCCATGTCCCCTCACCGCCATGCAGGCCGCACACCCCGCGCTCTGGGGATGTCCCCAGTGTCCCCTCACCGCCATGTAGGCTGCACACCCCGTGCTCTGGGGGATGTCCCCAATGTCCCCAGTGTCCCCATGTCCCCTCACCGCCATGTAGGCCGCACACCCCGCGCTCCGGGTCTTGGCCTTGGAGTCCACCAGACGGCCGCTGATGCCGAAGTCGCAGAGCTTGACCTGGCCCCGCTCGTCCAGCAGGATGTTGGAGGGTTTGACGTCCCTGTGGATCACCCCGTGCTTCTCCTTCAGGTACAGCAGCGCCTTCACGATCTGCGGGACAGGCATCGTCCCCAGTGTCACCTCTGTGCCACCTCTGTGCCACCCTGTGCCACCACCACCCTGCCCAGACCCCAGAGACACCCTGATTGTCCCCAGTGTCCCCTGTGGGTCACCCCGTGCTTCTCCTGCAGGTGCAGCAGCGCCTTCACCGTCTGTGGGGACAGCAGTGACACTCCCCAGGTGTCACCTCTGTGCCACCATCACCCTGCTCGCTGTCACTGTCACCCTGCCCACTCGGGAATGGGGCGCTGGGTCCTGGGGACCCCCTGCCTGTCCCCAGTGTCCCCAGTGCTCCTGGAGTCCCCAGTGTCCCCAGTGTCCCTCACCATCACCATCTTGCCCAGGATAGTGGGACCCCCCTGCCTGTCCCCAGTGTCCCCTCACTGCCACTGTCATCTTGCCCATAATCCCAGAGCTACCCTGCGTGTCCTCAATGTCCCCAGTGTCCCCGGTTGTCCCCAGTGTCCCTGTTGTCCTCAATATCCCCACTGCCCCCAGTGTCCCCAATGTCCCCAGTGTCCTCAATTCCCCCAATGTCCCCCCTGTCCCCAAGTGTCCCCAGTGTCCCAAATCTCCCCAATGTCCCCAAGGCTACAGGTGTCCCCAGTGCCCCCAATATCCCCAAGGTCCCCAGTGTCCCCACTGCCCCCAGTGTCCCCAGTGTCCCCAATATCCCCAAAGTCCCCAGTGTTGTCCCCACTGCCCCCAGTGTCCCCAGTGTCTCCAATCCCCCCGATGTCCCTAATGTCCACAATGCCCCCACTGTCCACAATATCCCCCAGTGTCCCCGCTGTCACTCACTGCCACCATCACCTTGCCCAGAATCCCAGAGCCACCCTGCGTGTCCCCAGTGTCCCTACCACTCCCGCTGTCCCCAGTGTCCCCACTGTCACTCACTGCCACCGTCATCTTGCCCAGGATGCGCTCGGGGATGGGGCCCTGGATTCGCTTCTTGAGCTTCTCGGCGCAGGTGCCCATGAGCTCCATGGCGATGAACACGTCGGTCTGGGGGAGAGGGGCTCTGCTGGGGGCACTGGGGGGCACTGGGGGCACTGGGTTCACTGGGGGGCACTGGGTTCACTGGGGGACACTGAGGGGCACTGGGGGGCACTGGGAGGGCACTGGGGGGCCCCGGTGCCCCCCAGGTGCGCTCAGGCACCCCCAGGTGCCCAGGTGCCCCCCCAGGTGCTCACGTTGGTGATGAAGGTGCCGAAGCACTGCACGATGTAGGGGCAGTCGTGGCTCTTGAGCACCACGTCCAGGTCCATCAGGATGCGCTTGTTCTCCTCGCGGTTCCCCGAGCGCCGCATTTGCTGGGGAGGGGACACGGGTGTCACATGGGGGGGCACGGGTGTCACAGGTGTCACCGGGGGTCACAGGGTCACCGGGGCTCATGGGTGTCATGGGGAAGGGTCACAAGTCCCACAGCTGTCACTGAGGGATCTTAGGTGTCACCGCGGATCACAGGTGTCACCAGCTGTCACAGGTGTCACTGGGAGGCACAGGTGCCACCGGGAGGCACAAGTGTCATGGGGGCTCACAGGTGTCACAGAGGTCACCAGAGGGTCACTGGGGGTCACAGGTGTCACTGGCAGTTACAGGTGTCACCAGGAGTCACAGGAGTCACCAAGGGTAACAGGTGTCACAGGAGCCATGGGGATTACAGGTATCACAGATGTCACAAGTGTCACTGGCAGTTACAGGTGTCACCAGGGGTCACAGGTGTCACTGGGAGTCACAAGTGTCACCAGGGGGTCACAGGTATCACAGGTATCATGGGGGTTACAGGTGTCACAAGTATCACAGGCGTCATGGGGATCACAGGTGTCACAAATGTCACCGGTGTCACTGGCAGTTACAAGGATCACAGGTGTCACCAGGTGTCACTGGGGTCACTGGCAGTTACAAGTGTCACCGGTGTCACCGGTGTCACTGGCAGTTACAGGTGTCACTGGGATGACTGGCAGTTACAGGTGTCACAGGTGTCACTGGGGTCACTGGGGTCATTGGCAGTTACAGGTGTCACCGGTGTCACTGGGGTCACTGGCAGTCACAGGTGTCACCGGTGTCACTGGGCTCCCCCGGTGTCACTGGGGTCACTGGCAGTCACAGGTGTCACAGGTGTCACTGGGCTCCCCCGGTGTCCCCAGGCCCGCTGCCCACCTTGACGGCGATGACGTGGCCGGTCTTGCGGAAGCGCATCTTCCACACCTGCCCGCAGGTGCCGCTGCCGATCTCGCCCAGGTTCTCCAGGTCGTTGATCTCCGCCTGGTACCGCTGGGGGGAGGGGGGGTCAGGGTCCACCTGGGACAGCCCCGGCCTCACCTGGGCCCCCACGGCCAGGTAAAACCCCCCCAATCTTCAGCTGTGCCCCCCAGAGCCAGGTAACCCCCCCACAGTCGGGTAACTCTCACCTGGGCCCCTCACCATGCCCACATGTGCCCCCCATCCTCACCTGTCACCCCCGTCATTCTCATCTGTCCTCATCTAGCCAGGTAACCCCCATCCTCACCTGTCCCCTCCCAGGCAGGTACCCCTGACTCACCTGTCCCCTCCCAGCCAGGTACCCCTGACTCACCTGTCCCACGGTCAGGTACCCCTGACTCACCTGTCCCCCCACGGTCAGGTACCCCTGACTCACCTGTCCCCCCACGGCCAGGTGCCCCTGCCCACCCCGTCC